TTGCTTAGTAGTACACAGGTCACGGGTTCAACTCTCGGGGTCTACACAGGTAATGTACACAGTGGGGTAAGGACTAGGGATCGAGCCCTGGGATCTGCATCTGCTGATGCAAAAAGGTGAAAACCATTTCACAATCCATTCCCATAATCATATCAAATGGTAGGTTCTTTTCTACTAGGAAGGATATCTCATGTAAAATTTTCTTACCTTCCTTAGTCCTGAAATAACATTTGACACGATCGACGTATTGAGAGACAGTGATCGTGCTCTTTCCAGCCATCATAGACGTGATAGGTCGAGGTAAGTCTTTCGCCTTCATTCCCAGATGCAATTTGCCTTCTCTGAGATGTAAGACCACGTTGATCCTAGATCTAACAGGGCACCTACTCGCATGTGCGCAATCTCAGTATCCGCGATCATCTGTTCACCCTTAGACTTAGCTTTCTTCGCTATGAGTTCATTGTCGAGCTCGTCAAGGGAATCGTCCAGTGAGACAGAGCAAAGAACAGTATGAGGGTGCTCTGGACGACGCGCGGAAAAAGAGCCATCCTCTGCCTTAAGAGTCGAAGAGGTAGAAGGGATTGCCGGCGCCTTACCTTTGTCTTCGTCTAAGCCCTTCGACTCAGTAGGAGCAGATGCTACTCCTACTGGCTGCTCGCTTTTGGGTTCGTAATACGTGGGCACCAGGCGATCACATGACCCACGATGCCACACTTGAGGCATTGGCGATTGTCCATTTTGGACTCTCACTCCTCTCGTGTCATGTTCATTTTCTCCCAAGGTTTCCCGAACACAATGCCGGGATGCTCGAGAAACGAGCGTGGCCTCCTATTCTTCTTCCATTGGCTTTGGCCTCCCTTGTTGGCCATCACGAGAGTGACATCAACCTTCCCAGATTCACTGCGACCGTTACCTCCTCCTCCCTCAGACTCGTCGAGGGGTAACTTCTCTACCGTATCATCATCAAACACTACAAGCATGTGGTCCTGACGCTTTTGCCGCCAAAAGATCCGCTTGCCATGTCCACCAACCGGTTCCGACTTTACCCCCGAAGCGTAAGACCCTTTTACCTGTGCGGTCATCTGATCTCGTTGGAGAGCGAGATTGCGAAATTGTTGATAATTGTACTTACCAGACTTGGTGTCTGCCACGAGCTATCCGTGAATGGGCTCGGGCAGTGCACGTGAGTAAATGTACAAGACCTGGTTCTCCTGGAAGTTCAACCCGGGTACCTGCAAAAGACGGTCAACCTCACGTGACAAAGCATCAACCTACGTCAAACTTTTCTGGCCGATTGCAGTGAGTTCGTCAAAGGCCTTATTGGTCGTCGTCTTATCAAGAAACGTCTCCTTTATCTTTTGGAGAAATTGCTTGAGGTTCAAGGTCTTAGCCCACTCACCGATATCTTCGAAACCAGCGGCATTGGCTTCGGCCAGCACCCATTCCTTGGCCATTCCTCCCAGATAAGACATGGAGAAAGCGACTTCACTCTCAGGCTCGACGGGGGCAGTCCCGACATACGTTTGGATTTCCGCGATCCACAACAACAGATTCTCATCTTTCTTGTTGTTGTACGTGAACGACAATTTCATCTTTACTTTTTCTTTCTTCTTCGGCTTTTTCGCTTCTTTCACCGGTTCTTCTTTCTTGGTGGGTTCATCCTTCTTTTCAGCCGGTCTCTCAGGTTCTTTCTTAGAACTTTTAGACTTCTCCGACGTGACTCTTTTCATTGCATCCTTCATTAACTTCTCATGGGGTTTCTTCTTGACTACCTCCCCCTTCGTCTCCTCCTTAGGTCCTACCTTATCCTTTCCTTTTAGGAGTCTGGTCACTGTCTCTAACAAAGCAGTGTTACGGTCAATCTTCTTTTCAAGGGAAACAAGGTAGATCATGACAGATTGAAGGATGGATACAAGCTCGCAACCTACTTCCTCATAATGAAATCTTTGCCTTAATTCAAACCTAATTCTTTCTTCTTCTTCTTGCACTTCTTGTAGTCTCCGGAATTTCTCAATCTTTCTTTTTTCCTCGCGTAGTGTGTTTTCTAATTGTCTAACGTTCTCCTCCATTATCTCAATAGACAATTGCGGTTCCACCTTCGTTTTTTTTTCTTCTTCTTTTCTTTTTTTCCTTTCCTGTTTCATCTTGTCCAGATTCTTGGCAACATACTGGTCAAGGACTATTCTTCCTTGCTTTATGAGGTCCTCAACCTTCTTGTCGGTCTCTATTACTTGAACAACTGTCTCTGCGGCTTTCAATTCATCTTCTGCGGCACGCAGATTGAGTTGGTCGTGGATCTGCTGTTCAATTTCTGATCCGGCGCCGTGTACCTCACCGAGAAACTGGTGAAGGAAGCCAATCAAAGTCTGCTTTCTCGTTTCAATTTGGCCTCGGGTCTTTAGTCCCCCCCCTTCTTCATCGGCATAGACTATGAGAGGGATAGGGAAGAAAAAAAGAGGAATGAATCACGTCAAGATGGAGGCACGCAGACATTTCCAGAGGGAATTCATTTTAACCAGGGTGTAGACACCGCACAATAAATACAATCAGAAGACGAGAATAAATTCCACGGCACACGCAACTCCTACGACAAGAAGTAAGCAAGGCAAATACAAAGAAGCAGATTCTTAACCAATTTCCTAATCTAACTTTGCTGTTTGTTTCCTTGTGATGACGTCCTACAACAATGTATAGGTACCGCAGCCACGACCAGTATGATCAAGACAACAACACACTCGTAAGTACACACAACAACCACAAACAATCAACAAATGAGAAAAGCCAACACCACCACACAA